ACTATGTTACAAGAATTTTTCTATAATTGAGATGAAAGCTCCTGCAAACATTACATTGCTCATATGCATACAGTACCATGAGAATATTAAAATAGGAACATTTGCAAGACCATATGATCAGCAGTTTAATAAAAATCATGCTTTTGGTACAGCGTTCAGGTACCATAACTGTATTGGAATATTTGTACAATGTTAAATATTTTTAATAAAATTTAACATGTTCAAAATGTTGTGTTGGTGATTTTGGGTGGGGTGTGATGGGTTTGTGCAAATCAGATTCATTAGTTCTCTAATTGACACTTGAAGTCAAATGGAGTTCCTGTCCTCAGATTTAGTACTTGATTGGGCACCTGTTTGAGGGAAGGCAGTAAAGCAGTAAGATAGTAAAAATTAAAAGGACTGAACTCGAGGGGGTTTATTAAAGTGTCAGGAAGTAGCTTTACTGAAGTTTAGAGCTGGGTCTACAGATAGAGATGTTGGCTTTGGTGTAACAGGCTGCCAATAAATTTTTTCTGATGAAATTGTGGCATATCTACTTTATAAATGATCCTAGAAAACATAAAGCGGTGGGCAAAGGGAAACACTTGTATGATGCTTTCAGTAAGCATTTTATTGCCCCAGTGTCCTTGACCAATTGAAATGACAGGCCAGGAAGTGAAGAAGTGATGAAGGAATATTTAAGGAAGGCTATGTTTAGGTGCACCAACAGGTAATAGCTTCAATGTACAAGAAATACCACAGAGAAAGCCCCCTCTTTGTTTCTGACAGTAAACTTTATGAAGGTTTCTCTTTTCATACTGATTCATTCTCCTGAAGAGAGCCCTAATACAGTAGATTTTCTTTTGACTTCTTTTTCTTGGGGTGTTCTTGGTTCCTTTAGTCAAAAAGGTAGAAGTCCTGCAACTCAGAATGGAAGTTTCATTGAAGTAATGTGCTCATTCCTTTGCAGACTGTACCATTAATAACAACAAAGATAAGGAGAAAAGTGATGTCCCAATAATCTATAAACAAATTAAGGAACTCTTCATAAGGAGTAGTAACATGGTCTATCTTGTCTCATTTGAATGAAGACTGTTAAATAAATGAGAGCTATGGAGAAGAAAAGGTGATTGTTTTGAGATAAGAAATGGTAGACAAAAGATTTCCCCAAGGCCAGTATTTTCCAGAAAGAGTTTACTATTTCTGTTGTTTTCCTATTGTCCCTAAATCAAAGGCCACTCACAGATAGAAAGGAATGTTCCAACAGCAAAAATAATCTAAACTTGGTTATCTTTAGGTGTTGGCAGAACTGGAGATGGGGATGGAGCAGCTCACAGATTTGTGGTATATTTTTTCCAAAAATAAAGGGGGGTTGCTTCTGACAAAGATTTTAAACAAAGGCTCTATTGGTGTGTTTTTACTCTACCGAAAGCCCTTCATTTATTTAGTTTATTTTTAGAAATAAGATTTTACTAGGTATTTTCTTGTCAGGTGTATTATATTCAGATAGGGGAATATCTTTCCTGTAGCTATGAAAAATCACATTTCTGTTAATTTAGACTTGAAATTTGTGACTGAAATCATGATCATGTGTAGGCATTTTCTTTAAAAACAATATAAGCAAGAATAGTGTTTTATTTTAAGTGTTTTTCACTTAAAATTCCCAAAGGGTGATTTTTAAGCCTACCCATCCATTTATTAAAAGCAGACACGAAGTTAAATTAATCAAAATTATACAAGTTAGTCGTGCCTTTTAAAATAACACTAGGTTTGGTCACTTTAAAATTCTTTTCTACAGGGTTAAAGGCGAAGATCAATATTTTCAAGTATAGTAACTGGCAAAAAAAGGAGCTCAACCTTCGTTTTCAAATATGTAAAGGGGAAAATAGTTCCTTAAATGTGAAATTTTTACATGGTTGAAGATTTCATGTACTATTATCAAACACTTTAATAGAATTTATAGAGACATTCCTATACCAGGTGTGGACGGGGGCATTAATCTCATACTTCAATCAGGAATCCTTTAAATCTGCAAATTTCAGTTGCCTAAGTTTTTAAATAGATTAATCAGAGGTTATTATAATTTATTTATTTATATTTTATTCATCACCATTTATCTCCTCCATGCCCTCTTCTACCCTCCCTCACTCTTAACCCCCAAAGGTTAGTATCTTTTAAAAGACTATTACTGTTTTTATCAGTTAATCACTATTTTGAAAATTTTGTCTTACAATGATCAAAATATTGTCAAAACAGATGTTTTCATATGAACCTATTGATTATAATTATGTTTATATATTTTGCTTTTTTTCTTATTATCCCATAAAGAAACCATATACCTTTTTCATCACTAATTCAAGGTCATGAATGTTTTGCTATTGTTTAAGTACCTGAATTGGTTTTATCAGAAGCACTTGGGTATACTTCTGGCTAGTTATGGTATAACTAAATATTTTTGGTTATATAAGGTACATGTTTAGAATTGGCTTGTCATACTGAAACTTTTCTTGCTTCCTGTTGAGAAGTAGAACCTTACCAGATTAATCATATTTAAATATAAGCTATGTACAGTTTGATTTATTTAAATAACAACCAACAATAAATATTGTTACTGAACTTCTTTTTAAATCATGAAGAGTAATGTAGGTATATGTTTATTAGTTGTGATGTCATTTCTATTTGACTTTCCAAAATAGGGGAGTGGGGCGTGCGGTTTAAATGAGAGCATCTATTGCATATATCAAAATAATTTTGAAATAATTTGTAGTCATTATTTTAATTTTCTCATTTAACTGTTTATGTCACAAATTCACCATTAAACAATTTTTCTGAAATTTTAATGTGGGTGTAAATCCCTGGGGGATTCTGTTAAGCAGATTCTGAGTCAAAGGATTTGAGGTGGGACAAGAGTCTGCATTTCTGACAAGGTCATAGATTGTCTCTCATTTTGGGGACATTTCAGAGCATAGACCTTAGTGGAAAAGTTACCGACAACAGATATTGGCAATGATTTGCAGGATATAGGTGGTCTAGTTCGATCTAGTTGGAGGGTACTAACATTTTGGTAAAGGCTATCCCAAAAGTTAATAGTATGTAGGATCCCATGGAAAGGTTAGAAGCATAGTCTGCAAGAAAATGAAATGCATTTAGAAAAACAGGCTTTACAGTTTTAGGGAATTGGTGGAAAATAACAGTAGGAAGGAAAAACAAAACAAAAAAAGAGCAGGTCACTGAGGAAATGTCATGGCATGTTTATTTAGGCATTAGATCAGAAAACGGGTTGCAACAAAAGTCATAAAAGATAAAAATAACTCCTGAAAGCTAAGAAAGGAAAAGTTAATAGGATACTAAAAAATACCCATGTGGTGTTTTTGTTTGTTTCATTTTGAAATATCTTTGCAAAGAAAAAGTTAACATTCATTAATTAGAGCAAAGTACACATTAAGGAAGAACGTCATTATATGACTAAAAGTAACATGGATTAAGATCAAAGATGGGAGATGCTGTTGAAGAATAGAAATGGCAGGTATATCCATTTTTATAAAAGGGAGCTAGAAATAGTCCCTGATAACTGGTAAACTATCTGATTTTCAACTCTAAAACTTTAATTTGAAAAATAAAAATATCGATGAAGTATGGAAAACAAATACTCTGCTGTTTGCTAGTGGTGTAGGTTATAATATCTACTAACTGATGTGAGGACTAGGTATTAGGCACTGTATTCAGGAATTGCTTTATATTCTGTATATTATGTAATCATCAACCCTGTAAGGTAGGTGGTATTGTCCCTACTTTACATATGAAGAACTCAGAAACTGAGTTAAGTCATTTGTTACAAAAAGCCAGGATTTGAACCCTGTTCTACCTCCATTGTTCACAGCTGCTGGATTAGAAATAGGCCTAATAATAATCCGTGGTTAGAATTGTTAACATTTTATGTGTACTTTAAAGCTCTTTAAGTTATGTCTGAAATAAAGCCAACCTAATTCGAATTTAGAGTAAAATAATTTTGTTCTAGATTAAAGTGTATTGCTAAAGTGTTTTTGTGTGTGTTATGTTGATAGTTCAATTGTCATTTGTTTTATTTTTCTTCCATCATTCATTTATGAAAATATAGGCCCAAATATCATTGGATTTTGATCTTTTAAGACAGCCATTTTTTACCTAGGTAAGCCTATACTTGATTTGGAAAGAAGTGCCACTTTACAAGTGACTTAAAAATTTAAAATTTTACTTCCATATATTTTATTCACAAAACCCAAATTTATTTTCATTTTCTGAGTTTTGTCTATATTAGTGTTTAAGCCTTTTTAAAGTGTTGGTTTAAGCCATCTCCATCACTTAATGTTTGATTTCAGCCCTTCTACATGTTTCAAGGATATAGTGAAAGAGTTTGTTAAAAGGGCTTCACTTATGAGACCTAAGTGTGTTAGTGTGTGTGTGTGTGCGCGCGTGGGCACACGAGCGTGTGCATGCACACACGCGCAAGATGCAGAATTACACATAAAGAGCCAGTATGCTCAGCCCCAAACTTGGTGGTGTGGAGAGCCTACTCATGCACTCTTTACATAAGATGTTATCTTTCTTGAAACAGAAAGAAAGGTGGTCTTAAGGCATTTTTTAAAAATAAAATTATGCTTTAGATTATTTAGGGTATTTTCTGCTGTTCTATTTCATGAAAATCTGAGCTATACAGTAAAAAATATATAAGTCAACAAACATCAGTGTTTTTGTTAAAAGCTTATTTCTTAAAGACTGGACTGTCTTGCTTTTAGAATTCTATGTAATTTGGTTCATTGCTTAAAGTAATGGGTATTTCAAAATAGAATCGGGGATTCTTAGTACTCACCAGTCCTGAATTTAAGGTCACCGTGAAAATAATGTGACACTGCGTTAGGGAGGAGCTGACGGCTTATTTACCATGCCTAAGCTCTCAAGTCATTTCTTTGAGTCTATAGTTGATTGGTTGATCTGTCTCTAAGAATACTAGCTCTCCTTAATAAAATTTTCAAAAGGTTTTGTTCAGCGTAGACTACGTATTTGTCAGATGGAAATTATTAATGTGAAATATTACATTAATAAAATTAGCCAATACTTTCTAAGAAGTCACAATTATTGCTTTTAAAAGTAATATTTGTATAACTTTTATCGTCTATATTTTAATATGGAAAATGAGTCAAAGTAATGATAAATGTTTATGACAATTGCTAGTTTATTTCTCCACAGTGTGAGCTTTCAATATGATAGTAGGAATTACCAAAAATTTTCATCTTGGATTTTGTCCTTTAGAAGTATTATAAAGGTAATTAACTATGTTCTTTTCAGAAAGTACAGTAACATCTCAGTCAACCTGTTAATGCTTAGGGAGTGGTATCATTAAAAGGATTGATCTTGTACATCATTGACCATATTTAGATACCTACAAGTAAACTATTTATTGAAAAGGTTAAGTCTAGTCAGTACCTAACACCAAGAATTGATATGTCATTTATTAATTTCAAAACCATGGAGTGATTTATTTTTCAGGAGTTAGGAATACAAAATTAGTAAGTCATCATAATTATCCTCAGAATTTACAGAAAATTCCAGGAGGCAATAATAGATTTATAAGTAGTAATGATAAGCATCGAAACCAACTTCCAGAAACACTATTGGAAGTTTGAAAGGTGTTTTGGCTCTTAATAAAATACTTGGTTTCTAATCAGAATACATGACTAATATGTATGATTTAGATTACTTCTAGAGAGCAAGAGTTTGTAAAATATATATCATGAATTTTTTCACTAAAGTTTAGTGTCCATTGGAAGGAGGGAGATAGATATTAAGTAACAATTTTAATAATTTTTACCTATGCAGTTCAAATTTTAATTAAAGAAAATAAAGTTGGATGAACTGTATGAATCTGAAAAATCAAATGTGAAGGTAGGTTTAAATTTTTATCTATTTTCTCATTACAAAAAACTGTAAGCCTTCAGGTAAGAAATCCCTGGTTAAGGTTGGGTTAATGAGCAGTTCTTTGAAACAGTTGTTCCCACCCTGACATACATAAAGTGTGACATACAGATGTTGCTTTATTCAAATGGAATAGATTTACTAAACAATTTTATTTTTCTATTCCCTGTACTACCTCATAAAGATTCCTTATGAGTCCAGGGTATTTCATACTCTGTTATGTCTCACAAAACTGGTTAGTGTTTGATAATTACATTTTTTGTCAGCAATATCATTGGTGTTAATGTGTTTGATAGGAGTGGCTGCTGGTGTGATTTAGAAAGTAAAGATAGATGATAATAGCTCTTTAAAAAATTTCCAGGACTACATGTCTCACAAGAATACATTTTTTGAACCAATGACTAACCTTTCACCTCTCCATCTGTATTATTTATCCATAAACATTTTCTTTTTTAAAAGATTAGGATGTGAGGGCTATCTGGCTGCCACATCTGTCATCCCATTGATCACCAGGGTTGGTTTGGCTGATCTGGCTGGCTAAGCGAGTGTCTCTTCCTCACCAATCCATGTGTGTCCTTCCCAATGACCTTCCCCAGAGGAGAGGACCGGTCTTCGATCAAGGGTATATATGAGTAACTGTGCTCCTCTGATGGAACCTCCAAACAAGCTCTCGGGGTCTATTTGTAGGAGAACATAGGGTAGTCAAGCTTCCAAGACTCCAGACACAGCCAAGTGAGGCACTGCATGTGGCAGGCAGTCTGCCTTTCTAAGTTTTAAGGCCTATAACCGCCAGCTGGAATTTTTAGTCAGCAAGAGAGAACTAAGGTTAATAACGTTGAACTGGTTTTCATTTCAGTCAAAAACATTTGATGAGAGAGCTGATACTGAGTATTTTCTATGGGATGTTGTTACCTTAAGTTATTTAAACTTACTAACTCTATGAAGTAAGTGTAAATGTAGGAACCAAGATAAAAGATACTTTGGTCTAAGGCCTAACTAGAAGTGGCAAATCTGATATTGAACCCAGATCAATGTGATATCAGCTCATATTTAACCACCGTCTGTGTACTACTGTCTGGATTTTACTTGCTCTATGCAGTCTTATTTAGTACATGACATTAGACTTTGAAATACTGCATAACTGGGATACTACTAACTGGCTGGTTAGACTAGTGGTTTCCAGAGCTTAGAACTATGGGTGTGGCCAAGGACTAGTTTTACAGAAATAAGAGCAGAAGGATTATTTTCTGTTTTTGTGTGTGTGTGTGTGTTTTTTTTATCCTCACCTGAGGACATTTTTCCATTTTTTGTTCAGATAGAGCAGGAGGGAGAGAGAGGAAGAGAGAGAGAAAGAAACATCGTTGTGAAGGGACACATCGAGTGGCTGCCACCTGCACGACCAACCAGGGCCGGGGACAAACTGCAACCGAGGTACATGCCCTTAGAGGGAACCGAACCCGGGTCTCTCTGTACCGCAGGCCGACACTCTAACCGCTGAGTCAAACTGGCCAGGGCGAAGGATTATTTTCTGTCGTGATAATAGGATTAACGATAGCCTCTGAATAGCTCAGACTTCCCTTTTGTATGGAAGTGTGCTCTCAGTGTAGCTTAGTTAACTAAACAATGCTCTTAAATCTGTTTACAGTTTTTCAGATTACTCCTTTTTTTTTGGTACTTTTAATATTTGTCACTAGCTTACTGCACACGTTGTGATTTGAGGTTTTCTTTTACCAGTTTTAGAACATCTCCTAGTTAGAGTGTTTTGGCATTTGTTTGAAATAACTTTTAATAAAATGGAGCCAGGCTGTGGTATTTTACCTGCAACCATTGATTTTGACATGGAATTCGATTTTACATCTAATTTTCTTTCCAGGTTGGAGTTCTTATTCTCCAAAGGTAAAAGCCACTATATTTTTTGTAAACACTTCTTAGTTGCTCTGCTTTTTACCTTTCCTAGCTTTATGTCTTTGAAGTGGCTAATGGAAGGTCATGAAGTATGCTGGGTGCGTGCATAACCATGGTTTTGTATAGTGTTGATTTACTTTTTTTTTTTACACGTTTATGATTACTCTTAGTTATTGTCTTTGCATATATTTTGGAAGTGGATTGTTAACTGTTTCCATTTAACTTCATTACTCACATGATTTACCTAGGCTAGGGTCATAGAAGGAAGATAGAGCAGAACCAGAACTTATTTCCTGATAGTTTTTCACTCACCTTGATTCTTAAAGAAACATAAAGTGTGCATAAACAAACTTGAGTGGCGTATTGATTGCCTGATAACTCAGGGAGCACTTGGCACGTACACACATGTGTGGCTGGTGAATAAACAATTGAACAATATCAGAACTGGGCCTTAACTAACAGCCTGGAAGGTATTAATCAAAGTCAGGTAGGTTCTAGTTATACTTAAGCACCAATACCAATTTCAGAATTTCATACAGACATCTGACATGCCGAGGGGTCCTTGGTTGCATTGGGGTTCCATGTAGCTGTTTTCTGCCTAGGGCATTTCTTCATTGTAGAGCATTTTAATTGTTGTCCAATCAAAGCAAGTGTGCTAATGGCAACAATGATCTTCAGGTCATCTGTACTGCGTTTTTCCCTCCTGATTATTGTCTTTGATCTTTTTGTTATTTTTGACACAATTGAGTAAACCTTCAAAACATCTAGCTTTCTTGGCTCTGTTTGATTCACAGTTCTGTATATTTCCTTGTCCCATGTAATCCTCCCTCAAGTCTTCTGTCTCTCTCTAGGAATTCCAACTACTGTTAGGGTTACTGGATTTTATATCCTCCCAACTCATATCTCTGACTCTAATCTTTTGTTCTCTAATCTCGTGTGCCTTCAGATCACATGAAACTTGATAATGCTGGGAAACAGTTACCAGCACATGTTCTGTTAACAAACCTTAAGTGCGTACGTGTATTCCTGGCACTGGGAGTACATGGGGGAACATCTGGCAAAAGGAACAAAACCTTACAGACACAGCTATGAAAGAATTAGGTGTTTTGGGAGCATCTCTTGATCCTGCAGGTTTCAGTCTTAATATTTCTGTTGGATTTTCTGTTAATCAGGTCATATAATTCTTCTGTGATGTCCTTTCCTTAATTTCTCTAGTTATTAATCTATTTTAGGGTAGCATTTCATAATCTTTTTGGAGAATGACTTGGAACCAGTGTGGAACAGCTGTCCTTTAGTACTTCAATTGATTGGAAAACTTAAATTGAAAGATTTAAGAAGTTCAATACTTTTTAAGTGAATTATATTTTATTACAACAGCATTTATATTCAGATTTGGACAATTTTTAGCCACCTTTATGCTAGATAATGTTCTAGGTATTGAAATTATAGCAGTGTAGGAATAAGATAGTCTTCTCTACTTATGAAACTAATGTTCTATTAAGGGAGCAAATTCACATTTAGCTTGCTTGATGTATCCCCCAATCTAAGATTTACAGGTTAGGCAGCAGTGCTGTGTGCCTTGCAAGTCAACTCCCACATTATTGCAACTCACTTCCAAGTTTCCTACCTGATCTCTTCAACTATATTTGTCCTACACACTGCCATAATAATAATCACACAGACACAAACATTCTTACTATTTTTTTAAAAATATTATTTTCTTCACTGATTTTAGAGAGGAAAGGAGAGAGAGAAACATCAATGAGAGAGAACATAGATTGGCTGCCCCCTGCATGCCCCACACACGGGATTTGGCCCACAACCTGTGCATGTGCCCTGACCAGGAATCGATTCGGCAACCCCTTGGTGCATGGGTGGATGCTCATCCACTGAGCCACACCAGCCGGGCTCTTAACTGTGTCTTTTTTTTATCCTCACCTGAGGACATTTTTTTCATTTTTTTGTTCAGACAGAGTGGGAGGGAGAGAGAGGAAGAGAGAGAGAGAGAGAGAAACGTCGATGTGAAAGGGACACATTAAGTGGTTGTCACCCGCACGACCCAACCAGGGCCGGGGACAAACCACAACCAATGCACATGCCCCTATTGGGAACCGAACACGGATCTCTCCGGACCGCAGGCCGACTGCTGAGCCTAACCCGCCAGGGCTCTTAATTGGATCTTGATGTCAAATTCACATTCTTGAAATTTGAGACTTCATATATTTGCCTGGCATTTCTCTTCCAAACCTTTTCTTTCTTTTTTAGTCTGACTGTGATTGTATTTAAACCTTAACTGGTAGGCTTTCAAAAGTTATGCTGCCTTTATCCACCTAGCTTTAACCCATTACTTCCTAACAGTTAACTTTGGAAGATTATATTTTCCTAAGAGACATGATTGGAATGTGACATGAAGTAACAGGAATGTATGTATGGTAAAATTTCCATATGCAAAATGATTTCTAGACTTTAATCTGGCCCACTTCAAGGTGTATTTGGAATCACTTTTAAGAGGCAATTCAACAACAAAATTGTACTGAAGTGTATTTAGATGCTGTGGCTAATAAAATCTGTAAGAAAATGCAGGAGAGTCTGAATTAGTCATTTGGATATGAGTATCAGATTTTGAGGCTGCATCTAGTGACTCAAAGGGAACTTCAGAAGATTCTCTGCTTTTGACTATTGAGAGTAATCTCTCATTTCACAGTTATTAAAAGCCCACTTCACAAAAGTGCACAGACCAAACAAAAACAACCAACTTGGCCAGTCCCAGCCTAAAAATTGCACAGGTGGATACATGTTGTAATATTTTCTGAAAGCAAAGGCACTAAAATGTTTAATGTATGTCTGTCCATATTACTGTATAGGTATGTCCATATTCATATTGGTGAAATTATTTAAAGAGTTCTTTTACTGTAATCATGGTGGTAAATTCCCTTAGACTAAGTCTGTTAGATCTGCCTTATGAATTCAGCGCTCTAGCTTTCTCTTCCAGGGGAAATTAAAGTACAAAAGAAGGGCTTCTTGATAATTTTTTGAAGACTTTATTATTATTATTATTATTTTTTTTTTTTTTATCCTCACCCGAGGACATTTTTCGATATTTTGTTCAGATAGAGTGGGAGGGAGAGAGAGAGAAACATCGATGTGAAAGGGACACATCGAGTGGTCGCCACTCACACAACCCAACCAGGGCCGGGGACAAACCGCAACCGAAGTACATGCCCTTAGCGGGAACCGAACCCGGGTCTCTCCAGACCGCAGGCCGGTGCTCTAACCACTGAGCCAAACCGGCCCGGGCAAGACTTTATTATTTTTTTAAGGGGAGAGAGAAACATCGATTGGCTGCCTCCTGCATGCCCCCCTACTGGCGATAAAGCCTGCAACCTGGAATCGAACCGGCAATCTTTCGGTGCACATGATGACGCCCAACCAACTGAGCCGCATTGACAAGGGCAAAAGGCTTGATATTTTGACCTTTGACTCAATGTAGTCCAACCCCCCTACCCACCACACATTAGTCAAGGAATAGCTCTCAAGTATTGAGTTTCTACTGTGTGTCAGACACATGAAGCTAGGTGTTTTATATTCTCTTTAATAGTCACACTAACCCCTTAAGTAGTAGTGGTCCTATTTTACCAATGGAAAAACACCTAGAGAGGTTTGAGTGACAGGTTGTATAGATAGTTTGTGAAGAAACATATTAAAACTAAGAACTTTTCTTCATTTTTTTCTTTCTCTAGGAATATTTAGCTTTTTAGAGCTAGAGACAAAACATTTTCTTAGGTTAGACTTATTGTGGGGAGTTTTTCATTACAAGCTAGAAAGGACAGGTTTATTTTTAAATAATGTTTAAATTTGTATATTTAATTTGCTGTTGTATGCTTCTATTGCCCTGCCCTTAGCATCGTAGATGCATATTCAAGTCACCCTTCATTTAGCATGCAGACGCACTTGATGCAGGGTGAGACAAAAGTAGGTTTACAGTTGTGAGTATGCAAGACAAGAGTTCATTCTTATTTATTGTATTGCTTTCCATACAAACAACCATAAGCCTACTTTTGCCCCACCCTATATATAAGAGCATACTGCCTTCCATCTCTTTCTAATATTAATAGTAATATTCCAGTCAAGAAAAGAAGTGCTACCTTGAATTTGGGTCAGTTACTTCTATGTGAAGACAGCATTTCAAAGAATTTACCTGAAGCTGTTCTGAAAGTAACATTAGATGTAATGTCATAGTCTGGATTAAAATTCCAGCCATTGAGCTTGCCCATCAAAAAAATCCCTGCTTTTGCCCTCGTGAAAATAAAAATAGCCAATAATAAAAAAAATATTTAAATGAATATGTGCTCTGTGTTTAATGCTGATAGCTTAAGTGTTTACTATTTGAGTGCTTTTTAAAGTGCAACTTCATTGTACAGAGGAAGACACTGAGATGCAGGATAGAGCCCCAGGGTATTGTAGAAAAAGGGTTTTTGTTTTGTTTCAATTTTTGTGGTTTCTCTCCCTCTCCTCCTTTCAACTTCCCTCTATGCCATGTTCTGTGTTGGATTTCTTTTCCCATACTTAAGTTTTTCTTTCTTTTTTGACTATTCCTTTTCAAAGGATTTCCATATCCTTAGCAGAAAACTGGAGATTTATTCATAAGTTCAAAAATTTTATAAAAGATGTCAAAATAATTATAATTCATTGACCTGTCTTGTCAAAATTTTATTTTAAATTATGTTATTTAGGGGGAAGGTTATTAAAGTGTTTTCTCTGCCTGTTTACAATGTATTTTAGATTTCCCACATATTTTTCTGGATATTTATCAGCAGAGGGTGTAGAGGTTTGGTAAGTAATACAGTTTGATTTTGTATGTCTCAAGGATTTCTCATTTAGTCACATATTTGAGAGGTGGGTTTTTTTGTTTCTTTTTAATTCTGGCCTTTTCCCCCTGGTGATTCCTTTTGCAGTATTAACTAAAAATCCTTGTGTTAATGCTAATTTTGATTTTTTTTTTCACTAGCATGTATTGGAGCACTCAGACTTGAAGAAGGACATAGGTAAACAAATATAATACGGAAAATTTTCTAACAGTAGGGTTATGAAATCTTTAGTTTCATACTTGACATAGTCACTCTGAAAATTATTTACAAAACAAGTTAAGTGATAAAGGTTTTGCAACAACAATTATGAATATTTTGATTCTATTTAATTTTACAAACATAGTATTAATTCTCTTAATCCTTAAGGTCAGAAAAGATGGTTCTGTGTTATATAGGAAATACTGAGGACTTGAAAGTATTTCCCTTGTGTGTGAAATTTTGTGTAGGGTTCCAATTACTTAATTGTAAAGTGAATAACAAATACTAATCTAAAACACATTTTAGATTTATCAGAATGAGGCCTTACCGCTGCTTTGTCCCAAATATTTTCTTATCATCACTGGATATGAACCTCCATTTTATGTCTGTCACATATCTGAGCCCCATGTGCCAAGTTAAGTACTGCATGTCCTTATAAGTTGTTTTCTATGACTGGAACTTGTAGACCAGAAAACTTTGGAAGTGACGTATTCCTTTATTTGTGTCATAAAGCTACTTTAGCCCAGCCAGTGTTGTTTGATCATCATCCCATGGACTGAGAGGTCCTGGTTTGATTACCAGTCAGGGCACATGCTAAGGTTACAGGCTTGATTCCCAGTAGAGGGCATGCAGGAGGCAGCCAATTGATGTCTCTTTATTTCATTAATGTTTCTCCCTCTTCCCCTTTAGAAAATCAATAAAAACTTATTTTTTAAAAAGTTGCTTTAAAAAATTCTTTATTTTAATAACGAAACAAGATATGGCACTCACTTTTATGTTTGTTAATCCTCACCTGAAGATATTTTTTCTATTGATTTTTTTTTTTTTTTTAATAGAGGAGAGGGGAAAGGAGGGAAAAAGAGAGAAAGAAACATTTATGTGAGAGACACGTCGATTGGTGTCTCCTGCACATATCCTGAGCAGGGCTGGGGCTTGAACCTGCAACTCAGGTACATGCCCTTGACCAGAAATAGAACCTGCAACCCTTTGGTGCTTGGGCTGACACTCTAACCATTGAGCCACACGAGCCAGGGCACATTTTTAATTTTTAAAGTTAATTTAGTGATTCCAAAAATGTTAACACATTCTTTGAAAACTAGATTTCTGCGATGTTTTTTAATTGGAGTTAATGTTTGCTTCAGCTCCCATTTACTTGGAGTGCAAGTTCGTAGTGAATTATTGAAAAATACTTTTCTTCTATAAAGTAAATGAGAACACAAGTTTCTGTATATACATAATATATATTCTCTTTTTTACTTTGTCTTGCTAGTCAAATCTTTAAGAATAGGCTCAGATGGCAATCTAGAAAAGATTTAGAAAAAGAATATGTAAAAAATATTCTACTTTTACATTTCATTTATAGTAAACTAATTTAGCCAAGATCAGATTGGTAATTCACCCAGGTTATCAGGTAGAACCATTTAGTCCACTGAAGAATTTAATAATGAAAAAAATTGATACATTTGGGATTTTTCTTTGACGCTTGGGTTAGAAGTTGATCTCCATTGGGTCATGAACTGAAGCAGCTTCTGTCACTGCCACATCTACCTAAGAGGATTCTACTCACCCTGTCCCTGACAGTCTGCCAGTGTGCATGGTTTCTAAGGTTCACTCTTGGAGACAAAAAGAAGAAGAGAGGAAGGGAGGGTGCTAATTAAATCAACTGCGGTTTCTTTAATATGACCCTTTAGGCGATACTTTATATGAAAAGTAATGTTTAGTTTTACTACAGATCTGCATTTAGTTTCAACACTGATTTTTTCCCCCAAATTCCAGGAGCTTAGCTCAATGTCTTTTTCTAAGAATGTGAGTGCAGATATTGGGAGAAGACAATAATACAGGGAAGGTATTTTTCTCAAAGAAAGAAAATAGAGAAGAGGTTGCAGGGAATGGAGTGAGGTCAGCATTAGGAAAGTAAGAAATGATATAAATAAATATTAAGTAATTTGCAGTGTGATTTGTTTTCTGTGTGGGCTCACTTACAACTAACATGAAATGAGTGTTTCATTTCTTAAGCATGGAGTTGGGGAAGAACGGGAAGCCAGCCCGGAGATCCAAATTTACAGCAGATTCTCTGTATCCAGGTGGCAGCAATGGCTCTAATGGCATTCAGTCCAAGAGCAACGGCATCTTCAAAGAAAAAAAAGTTTGTAAATAATCTTGAGTCTGATCACCTTCACCATCATCAGCCAATGGATAGAGTAAGGCTTCATGAAGGGCATTTTAATGGCTTTTAGGTTGTCATGAAAATATATGTAGGGGGAAAAAAATGGAATTATGTTCAAGACATTTTTGTTTCCTGGCTCTTTATTCTCATATACATTCCACAACTAAAACAATCCTAACATTTTATTATAATCTTTAAATGCATTTGCGTGAGCTGAGGCTGCAGAAATCTCAAATTTTGTGGACACAGTTTACACCTGACCCTTCGTTTACTACTATGTCCATAGCATCACAAAATTGGGAGAGAGTACCTCTTTAAAGTTGGTGACCATTTTGCCTCAGTGTTAATACAGGTTCAGTTTTACTTTGGGCTTTGTGCCTAAATTGAGAACTGAGCAGAAGTATTGGGACAAAGCCAGGCAGCTGCACTCAAAATATTTGAGTCAAGTGCAATTTTTTTTAAAAGATGGATTATTGAGCCCACCTCAGGGACTGAATATTGGATTAAATAAAACAGTAATGTTACAGTCATATGTTTGAAGATATATATATATATATATATATACATATATATACATATATATACATTTTAATCCTCACCCGAGGACATTTTTTGATATTTTGTTCAGATAGAGTGGGAGGGAGAGAGAGAGAAACATTGACGTGAAAGGGTCACATTGAGTGGCTGCCACCCACACGACCCAACCAGGGCCTGGGACAAATTGCAACCGAGGTACGTGCCCTTAGCAGGAACTGAACCCAGGTCTCTCTGGACCTCAGGCCGACGCTCTAACCGCTGAGCCAAACCGGCCAGGGCTGAAGTTATACTTTAAAGAACCATGCAAACACTTTAAATTTGTAGGCCAGAGGAATATGTTATCATGAGGACATAACTCATGATGTTCTTTGGTTATTTTTACACCATGAGAGAAGAATACATGAATAGCTCAAAGCAATTTAACTTTGAAATAAGAGATTATATATGGGATAGTTGATACTCTTAGAGTTAACTTCAAATTAATGATGAAAATAGCTATGAAAATTAGTTAGGACCTTCACTTTTTCTCATGTCCCGTGGTCAACTTCTTATAAACTGGGCATAGAAAGAAGCAAAAAATAATTCAGATTTTGAAGTTATTCTCTCCAACTGATGTAATAAAGCAAGTATAATGAATACATTTCTCAGAATTTCCCCTCTATTTTTGAGTCTATAGGGGCAGTTGAAATGTCAGTGAAGCTGTGATTAAGTGTATTATAGTAGAGGACTTGAAATGCCTACATTAGAAGTGTTTAGAAGTATAGGAGTCAACTGACCTTGAAGGTAAGAGTTACCATGAAAATTCATGAGAGACTGGAGAATGATCAGCTTCAAAATACAAACCTTGAAACTTATGAATTGTGGTTAGCTGTTAAAACAACAAAATGTTACAAATCAAGATATCTACGTTGCCAACTTCTGTCTCAATTTAGCAAATCTAATCCAGAATGCATATCAACCCTATGACACTTATTTTTGCCTAATTTCTAGATACCAGGGTAACAAGTGCTCTTGCCACATTAATTAACTTTATATAGTGTCTTAGTTTGAAAATAAACGTAACTATTTTGTCTTTTCAATGTTTTTCTTTTTATTTTTTTCTTTTTTTTCTTTATTGATTATAGAGAGAGAGAGGAAGTGAAAGGGAGAGACACCGATAGAAACATCGATGAGAGAGAACATCTATTGGCTGCCTCTGGCATGCCCCCCACTGGGAGTCGGGCCCACAATCTGGGCATGTGTCCTGGCCAGGAATCGAACCGGCGACCACTTGATGCATGGGTCGATGCTCAATCACTGAGCCACACCAGCCGGACTTGTTCTCAGTCTCAGTTTTACTTAATTTCTCAGGTTTTTTTGTTTGTTTCAGGTCATCCTAAATGGTGATTCCTTTTCTTTCTTAAACTGAATTTTGCTTTTTTTTCTTTATAGAGTAGGTAACATAAGTCCCTCTTGCCCTTTGCTATTAGAATCTGGCATTAGGAGCAGCTGCTGTGTCTGATTTTCATACATGGGTTTTTCTGGGATGGAGTGCATATCTAGTCTAATGTTTATTTAATTGGGCAGTATAAGTATGGTCACTAGCTCTTCTTCCTGTTTACTGAACACCTAATTATATTTTGTATTCCTTACACTACGGAATGTCAATCTAAAAAAACAAGCTGTGGAGAGAAAAAGAGGGTACTTTGACCATACTTTGAAAAAAACATTTTGAGATTTCAATTTTTTAATTTATTGATTAGTTTTAGGGAAAAAGACATTGATTTATTGTTCCCCTTATTTATGCATTTGTTGGATGAATCTCGTACGTGCCCTGGACAGAGGATAGAACCCCCAACCGTGGTGTGTCAGGACAATGCTCTAATCAGCTGAACTGCCTGGCCATGGCAAGATTTTGTTTTTTCCCTTAAAAACTCTTCAGGACTGGATGTGTTTATTATACTTAAAAAAAATTGGTTATAGACATTATGTTCATCATTTATGTAGTATTCTGCCCTGGTCCCTAAAGGTAGTTTTATACGCTAATTTTTGTTTTGCCTTTCTAGCTGCTAAAATAGATAATGATTATTGCAAAGTACACATTTTTAAATGGTCTCCAGTGTGGACTGCTGAGCCCAGTGATGGAGTGAGTACATTGAGGAAGAATGTGTTATTTGGAATCCAGCATCATTCAGCAAGGATAACTGCCTGATGATATGGTCAGAATGCTCAAACTCTAATGGCGTACCGATGGCTTTCTCTCCCATTCCCCTAAAGTGCAAGTTTTCACAACCTCAGAGTTCCCTTCATCTAGCTACTCTTATTTCCACTCTCAAAGTAGTGATCTGTTTTTGTCACTTTTGGATGTCAAAGGAGGTTGAAGTATCAGTGTGAGTACAACAAACTTATTTAATGATTAATAGGAAACAAATATTTTGTTTGCTAATATTTGAACTATAGAAAGCTTTGGCTTTCCGTTTACAGTTTTGAGAAGCGTAAAGAAATTTCCTGGCCCTGGCCATTGTGGGTCAGTGGTTAAGAGTGTTGGCCCTCACACCAAAGGGTCCCAGGTTTGGTTCTCAGTCAAGGACATGCACCTGGCTTGCAGGTTTGATCCCCAACTGCGGTCAGGGCACATGCCAGAGGCAACCAATGTGTGTGTCTCTCCCTCTCCCACTTTCTTTCTCCCTTCCACTCTAAAAAGCTATAGAAAAAATATCCTCAGGTGAGGATTAACAAAAGATATTTTCTGGTTAAATTCATGATTCAATATTTTTCTCTCTAAGCTAATTTTAATACTAATTTCCTACAACTAAGAAAGCAATTGAATGGAATAAGCTTTCTTTATTTTTTTTAAGTCCTTACCGAGGGTATATTTTTATAGTTTTTTTTGTTTGTTTGTTTGTTTGTTTTTGAGAGAGAAAGAAAGGGGATTGGGTGGAGAGAAACATTGATTGGTTGCCTCCCGAATGCAGCCTGAGCAGGGATCAAACCCACAACCTAGGTATGTGCCCTGACTGGGAACTGAACCTGCAACCTTTTTGGAGTATGGGTTGAAAATCCCACCAACTGAGCCACCCAGCCAGGGTAAGCCCTATCTTTTAAAGTTTGTACTAATGGTAATCAGATAAGTTCACTTCCTTTTTTCCTGATTTAAGTAATAGGTATTTCAAATTTGACTGGCAAATTAGAAAATCACTTAAAACAATTTGCCATTGTATTTTATTTCCTTTATTAGAATTATTTTTTCTGTTATACACTATACTACAAAACAAATCAAGGATGCATACTCATATTAAATTGATCACCCTGTGTCTGGCTTTTATGGGAATTACATCTTTTTTTCATTCAACATTTATTAAAGGAACAAACAAAATTTTAGGCTATAGCAAAAGAATACCTTTAGCTTAGCAAAGAGCTAAATTTCATTAAGGAAAGAACATGCAATTTCCACATACTTTAAGGTATGACTCATCCCTACTAAAGTGAAACTCAAAGCTACACCCATATCACTTAATTTTATGTCCTTCCCTGTTTACTGTGTCTGACCTTCAAGATTTCGTGACTGATGCTGAAATGGAAGCCAACCAATGCAGAAATTTTGGGGAAAATGAATCTGAAGAATGCAAGGGGAAGTAGGAATTCATTTCTAGCATTCCTAAACCTGCTTTGTCGTGTCAACTCACTACAGTCAGAGGAAAAGAACTGAGTTCATGGAAAGTACCAGCTAAGCCTTACATCTGTCTTTAATGTTTTTAGGAAATTTCAGGTAAGTGAGATGTCTGTTTTGAAGAAGACTCTTAGGTATATTAAAACCAGTTGTTCATTTTGGTAAAGATGGACAGTATTGTTATTCTGAGCTTCAAAAGTCTTGCCCTCATTAGGTGTGGTTCTCAGTATTGTGGAGAAAGTGGAGTTATTTCAACCAACATGGAGCTTTTTCTCTACTCAGAAGTTAAGCTGGAACTTGCATTGAAGTGTGTAAAGTGCCAGTTTTTGTTGGTTTGTGTTCAGATCCTTTGTTAAAAATTATTTTTTTTAATCCTCACCTGAGGACATTTTTGCATTTATCTTCAGATAGAGCGGGAGGAAGAGAGAGAGAGACATCCATGTGAGAGACACACATCGACTGGTTGCAACCCGCACAACCCAACTGGGACCGGGGACAAACCGCAACTGATGTACGTACCCTTGGCGGGAACCGAGCCCGGGACTCTGGTCTGTGGGCTGATACTCTAACTGCTGAGCCAAACTGGCCAGGGCTTAAAAATGATTTTAGTTGAGTTTTAACCCTCACTATATCTATAAAAAGCCTTTTTCTTTTCTTTCTTTCTTTTTTTTTTTTGGTTGATCCTAAATGGAAGATATTTTTCCATTGATTTTTTTTTTTTAAATAGAGGGGGAGGGGAGGGAGAAACATAAATGTGAGAGAGACACATTGATTGGTTGCCTCCTGCAGAACCCTGACGGGTCAGGGATCGAACCTGCAAATACATGCCCTTGACCAGGAACTGAACCCGAGATCCTTGTGTCCACAGGCCGACGCTCTAACCACTGGAGCAAAAACGGCTAAGGCTAGAAAAACTTAAAATGCTTCAAAGTTTCTACCAAACTATATTTGCATTATTCACAGTTAAATAAGAGTAAAATTATGGGGTTTTATAGGTCTCTATTAACATCCACCTCGATTGGTTTTATAGATAATTTCTAAATTACTAGGATTAAATTGTTTTATGTTTATTATATAACTAGGTAATAGACATTGTGCCAGGCCCTGGAATCCAAAGATGAACTAGCATACAGATGAAATTCTAGTTTAGGGAATGAAAATGGAATAAAATGAGACTAATTCCATTTCTCCATCAAAAGTCCACTCTGAATATGACAAATTCTATTTGAAAGGTCCTCTGCATGTGTGCACTTGTGTATGAGAGACAATTGCAAAACACTTCTTTATGCCAGCTACTGTTGTAAGCTCTTTACACACATTTTTTAAAAATCCTCATAACTATCTTATAAGTGCTGTGATCACAGCCCAATTTTGTTGTCATTGAGGCAGAGGACTTAACTTGCCTAGATTTGCACAACTATGGTCTAGGACCAGTATTTGAATCAAGACACCTTGACTGCAGAGCCTGCACTCTTAATTTGGGTGTGATACTTATATGTCGTACCTGGCTATGAGTACCTGTAAACATCCCAAATTCTTAATAAAGTTTGCCTAGTTTTAAAAAAGGAAACTTTCAAAAACTCAGATTAAAAATAAATAAATCTTTTAGAAAACTAAAAATTCCCTTTCTTTGACTAAGACAGTCATTTTTCGTGATGACCTCCCATAATTCATCTCCTAATCCCCAGCAGAGTGGACGCACATGCAGAAATTAAAGAACCAGAACAGAAGCAGAGCTGCTCGTGGTTGTATTTTATATTCAGAAACTATTGTGCCTCTGGTTCACCCCTCTTTTTGGAATGTGTACATTTTATCTGCTAAATCATGGGAAAATATGACTGCTTAGAGTTTTTTTAGGATTCTTTAAAAAAATATAGAAGAGACTCTTTGCAGAAGTAAAGAAAAACTACTCTGAGAAGAACCTCAGGTAGGTAATTTGCTTCCTATTGTATGTGTAGTTTTTTTAAGGCTTCTGCACCTCTATCCCCTGTTGTCATATTCTGTAAATACTTTTGGCCTTTAATAAACTGTTTTATGAAGTGAGTGGTTTTCTGGTCTCATTTCTTACCTGGTTGTGTATCTTCTTTGGTCACCTTACAAACGTTATTGCTACCCCTTCAAAACTGGTTTAATTAAAATAAGAACACCTACTATATACCTAATACTATTGAGGGTTAAATATATATATGCCAAGGCTTTGCTCTTAAGCTTGATGAAGGTGCCACCCAGTTCTAACACTGCAAATTTTTAAGGGAAAAATAAGGTGTTATAAAATCAATGTGACAGTGGTTGATTGTGTATCTTACGCAGTTGTGATGAAAAATCTACCCTAGTGAAATCAAGTTAATTATTCTATGACTAGTGAAATTAATGGGAGAAACAATTTTGACCGTATTTCTTCTAGATCAGTGCTTCTCAAACTTTAATGTATATGTGAATCACCTGAGGATCTTCTTAGAATGCAACTTTACATTAGGTAGGTCTGGGGGGTCACCCTGAGAATCTGCATTTCTTTTCTCTTTTAAAAAAAGTTATTGAAATGCATTTCATATAAAATTCACTACTTAAAAGTGAACAATTTGATTTTTTTGTTTGTTTGTTTTAGCATGCAACTATCACCACTGTCTTAATCAGGACATTTCATCTTGTCAAAAAAGAAACCCTGTACCTATTAACAGTCATCGCCATACACTACCACCACCACCCTCAAAGTCTCTGGCACCAAATAAACTACTTTTTGATTCTATGGATTTACCTCTTCCGGACATTTCATATAAATGGAATCACATTATGTGGACTCCTGTAACTGACTTCTTAATACAATGTTTTTGGGGTTCATCCATGTTGTAATGTGTATCAGTTACTTCCTTTTTATGGCTGAGTAATATTTTTAATTATTACATGGACATACCACATTTTATTTCTGTCAGTTGATGGACATTTGGGTTTTTTGCTTTTTTTTTTTTTTTTTTTTTTTTTTTTTTCCAAATCTTTATTGTTGGATGTAAAATGTATTACAGATGTTCCACATTTTTCCCCCATTGACCCCCTCCTCCCCACTCCCGCCCCCCTCCCACCTTTTCCCACACTATTGTCTGTGTCCATTTGTTATGCATATAAGTTCTTTGGTTTATTTCTTCCCACCCCCCCAACCCCTTTCCCTTTGAGGTTTGTCAGCCTAGCAATGAGTTTGTGCTTCTTAATCCCTTCACCTTTTTCACCCATTCCCCCAACCCCCTTCCCAACTGGCAACCAATAAAATGTTCTCTGTATCTATGAGAATGTTTCAGTTCTTCCTGTTCATTTTGTTTGTAGATTCCATTGTTGATAGATATGTATTCATTGCCATTTTGTTTGTTCATACATTTTATCTTTTTCTTCAAAAAGACCCTTCATCATTTCATATAATAACGGTTTGGTGGTGATGAACTCCTTTAACTTTTTCTTGTCTGGGAAAGTTTTTGTATGTCCATCGATTCTAAATGACAGCTTTGCAGGATAGAGTAATTTTGGTTGTAGGTTCTTGGTTTTCATCACTCTGAATATTTCTTGCCACTCCCTTCTGGCCTGCAAAGTTTCTTTTGAGAAATCAGCTGACAGCCTAATGGGTACTCCCTTGTAGGTAACTAGCTGCCTTTCTCTGGCTGCTTTTAAGATTCTCTCTTTGTCTTGAACCTTTTGTATTTTGATGATGATGTGTCTTGGTGTGGGCCTCTTGGGGTTCATCTTGTTTGGGACTCTCTGTGCTTCCTGGACTTGTATGTCTGTTTCCTTCACCAAGTTAGGAAAGTTTTCTGCCATTATTGTTTCAAACAGGTTTTCGATTTCTTGCTCTCTCTCTTCTCCTTCGGGCACCCCCAAGATGCGAATGTTGGCACGCTTGAAGTTATCCCAGAGGCTCCTTACTCTATCCTCATTTTTTTGGATTCTTTTTTCTTTTTGCTCTTCTGATTGGGGATTTTTTGCTTCCTTATATTCCAAATCGATGGTTTGCTCCTTGGATCTACATACTCTATTATTGAAGCTGTGTAAATTATTCTTTATTTCAGTTAATGCCTCCTTTAATTCTAACTGTGTATCCATGATTTCTAACTGGTACTTTTTTATGCTCTTGATGCCCTCCCTAAGTTCACTGAGGTTCTCACTAAGTTCATTGAGCATCCTTATAAGCAGTATTTTGAACTCAGTATCTGTTAGGTTGCTTATCTCCCTTTCGCTTAGTTCTTTTATTGGGGTTTTGTTCTGTTCTTTCATTTGGGACCTGTTTCTTTGTCTCCTCATTTTGGCTGCCTCCCTGTGTTTGTTTCTGTGTGTTACTTAATGAGAGGTATGGGGCTCGCTGAGACCCGGTGCTGCTCGTTTGAAAGAATTTAGGAAAAACCTGAAGCAGGATCCAAGACCGGCCAATCCTATGGTTAAGCCACTGGCAACAGCTTGGGTGGGCTTGAAAGTTGGGTGGGGCGGGGCCTCAGGAAGTCAGCAGGGCGGGGCTACCAGTGTGAGCCAGGTTGCTGGAGTCCCAGATATGGCTTCTGTCTGCCGCCCCCGGAAGGGCTCACCAAAGGAACAAAGGCCTCTGACAGCACGTTTGTCCCCGAGGAAGCCCCCTCTCCAGCTCTCGCTCCAGTGCCAAACAGCTCAGTTCTTCCCTGTGTGTCTCTGGTGCCCCTCGAGCTGCCTCCCCTCCGAGCTCAGAGGGAGAGAGTCCGATAAGTCCGTGCGCGGGCCCTTTAAGGAGCTGCCTGGGGCTCCAGCCGCTTCAGCTTCCCTGAGCCTCAGTTTCCGCTGGTTTTTCCAGCCAGAAGTTATGGGGACTTCTCTTCCTGGCACTGGAACCCTGAACGGGACACCTGGTGTGGGACGGGGACCCCTCAGTCCTCAGGAAGGACCTTCCCAGCCGCGGGATCCTCCTGATTTTTATCCACCACGCTTGGGTGTGGGACCAGCCCGTCTCGCCGCTGCGCGCTCCGCCGCCGCCCCCCCTCGCGCCGCCGCCCCTCCTACCGGTCTGGATGTAGCTGCTTTTTTTTTTTCCTTAGTTCCGTAGTTGTACGACTTCCATTCAGCTTGATTTCAGGCGGTTTTGAATGATGGTTGTTATGTAGTTTAGTTGTAACTTTGATGTGGTTGTGGGAGGACGCGATACCGCGTTTACCTACGCCACCATCTTGACCGGAAGTCTTTTGCTTTTTGACTATAATGAATACTGCTGCTATGAACACTTGTGTACA